TGACCACCACGATGTCCTCAGGGCGGCTCTGGAAGGTGTCAATCCGTTCCCAGTTGTGGGCAAAGGCATTGACCATGGGGATGCCGTGCACAGTGAGACAGGGCTGCCGCAGGTAGGTGTCCGGATTGGCCATCCTGCTGGGGACAGGGACATGGGACATGGATGGCTGATGAGGGCAGGTTCCCCCCACCCTCTCAGGGTGACTGTGAGCCCGGTCACCTGGCCCTGTGCCTGCTCAGGGAGCGGCAGTGATAGCACCAGAGCACAGACCAGAGGTCACTGCAGCCATCACTGCACACACCGCTGGGAACAGGGATCCCAGCTGTGGGGACAGGAGCACACCCAGAGCCCCAGCAAGGACAGAGGCACCAACAGCATGCCAGCATCACCCAGATCTAGGGGACTAGACTAGAACAGCACCTCTTCCCCTGCCTCAGCACCTGTGGAGAGCAGGGAACTGGGTCCCTGGGGATATTGCAGGAGACCACAGGTCAGGGCAAGGTTTAGGGCTGCTGATTGCACACAAACCCAAAATGCTCCAAACCCACCACCCTGGAACCTGCAGCATGCAGCTCTGTGCAGCTCAGCATGGGCAGAGCACCCACAGGGCACCCTGGGACACCCATCTCACCTCAGACCTGCTGCTCTGGACCGGGAGGGTGACGCCGGGACAGTGACTCCAGGAGGGTGACAGCAGAGGACAGGGAGATTCGGGGCCTCCCTCGGAAATTGCAGGAAGGAGAAGGAAAGAGGCAGGGCACTGAGGGCAGAAATGTTTGCCAGCCCAGCAGCTGCAGAGAGGGAGGAGCAAGGGCAGGGAGTAACCAGCAGGCACTGACCTGCAGGCAGGGCCACAGAGGACATCTCAGCCCCACAGGTCCCAGGCAACATCCTGCTGTGTGAGGGGGGGAGGACACCTCTCACTGCCCACACCCACCCAACATGTTCCCCATACACAGATTTGCCAAAACCTTCTGCAATGCCATGAGCTGCTGCTGGTGGCAATCCCCCCCCAACAGCGGCTGAGGGGTGACACCTGCTTGTCCCAGCCCACGAAGAGAACAGCAGCCCCAGGGGCACCCTTGGGTTGGGATCAGCAGAGACTCAGGACAGTGAGCAGCACCCCATGGCAGGGTCAGGGAGCACATTTTATTTCTCTCCAGCTGTTCCAGGGGAGGGAAGGAATGGCAGCAGTGCCACCACAGCACAGGGCGGATCTGGGGGGCGTCCAGCAACGTCCCCTCAGATCTGAGTGCGGAAGCACAGGTCGGTGCCTGACATCTTCTGCGCATAGTCCTGCTCAAAGCGCTCGTTCTGGGCCACGGTGAAGTGGTTCTTCCAGTCCCCGGTGGTGCCTGTGGCCGGGAGAGATGGGGCTCAGCAGGGGCCGGGGCAGGCAGTGCGCCAGGCCCCCACAGCCGCTCACCTTTGCGCATGAAGGGCGACACACTCTGGTCCATGAGGTTGGAGGGAACATTGGTGTAGTTAGTGGCAGGGTTGTCCCTCATGGCCTCAAAGGACGTGTGTCGGGTGATGGTGTCCAGCGCCGCATCCGACAGCTTCTGCCCCAGGAACTGGGCCACCTTGGCAACCTCCCGGCGCAGGTCCTGTGCGACACAGGCCGACACTCACCCCTCCTGCCACCCCCGGACCCCCTTCACACCACCATCCCCCCTGCCCCATCACCTCCTTCAAGTCCTCATAGAAGAGGTAGAGAATGGGGTGATCCTTCCTGCGCTCCCAGTAGCCCTTGACGTGGTCGTACCAGGAACCATACGCCACTGCATGGGGAGAGCAGCCAGTAGGTGACAGTCCCCTGCAGGGTCCCCTGCATGCACTCAGGGGGGCCCTGTCCCACCTCTGCCAGCCATGAACTCCTCCAAGTACTCGGCCCAAGTCCCAGGGTGTGGATGGAACTTGTTCATCAAATCAAAGTGGTAGTAGGAGACAGCCACGTCCTTGGCATTGCGTCCCACATAGACCATCTGCAGAAAGATGCATGTGAGGACTTGCAAGGTCCCAATGGGGCTGGGTGGCTGGATCCCTCCAGGTATGTTCATTCCAGCCTGTTACCTTGCAGCGGTTTTCCCAGAAGGATTTGGGCAAGATGTGAGCTGGGATGTGGGTCTTGATGATGCGAGGGGATGGCATGGCCTCCAGCTGCTCTGTGCCTGTAAGGATTTCCCCCAGGAGTGATTTTCCCCCCACCACACCACAGAGATGCCCTCCTATACAAAACCAAATTGTCCCCATCCAGCACCCAGTGCCTCCCACCACCCTCTGCCACCTCACTACCTGCTGGTAACTTCCCAGGAGCAGCAAACTCCATCATGGGCACCCGGAACACAATGTCATCCTGCTTGCACTTTTCTGGGTCACCGCCTTTCAGGACCATGTCCATGATCTCACTGACCCAGGTGGTGCCTGGTGGGGAGAGGTTGGGTGTCCAGCTGATGCCATTCCCACTGGAGACCCATCTCAGGCACCAGAGGGTCACCATCTACCAGTGTTGCCTTTTGGCACACCCCTGGTCCCAGCCCAGGCACCTGCAGCATGGGCTCCCTCCCTGAGCCTGGCCCTCCTTTGGTGCCTGGGCACGCTCACCAGATTTGGGGTAGGTGACCACCACGATGTCCTCAGGGCGGCTCTGGAAGGTGTCAATCCGTTCCCAGTTGTGGGCAAAGGCATTGACCATGGGGATGCCATGCACGGTGAGCCAGGGCTGCCGCAGGTAGGTGTCCGGATTGGCCATCCTGCTGGGGACAGGGACATGGGACAGGGACATGGCTGGCAGCGAGGAGCATCATGGGGCCGTCTCCTTCCCTAGGTGCCCCAAAATCCCTGCTGTACCCAGCCATCCTGGCCTTAGGATGGAAACCATGTCCCGCTTGCTGGCATTGCAGGTGGTGGCTCCTGTGTTCTGTGGGGGTTTTGGGGCCCAGGTGGCAGTGCAGGGAGAGTGGAAGGGCATGGCCAGCTCTGGGGGCTCAGGTCAGACAGGCAGTGGGTAGCTGCCCATAGCAAGCTGGCAGTGCTGTTCCTGCCTAAAAACTCTCAGGGGCATTCCTAGCTGGAGCTGCAGGCCGCTTTCTCTTTGCTTTTTCCTCCCCATCTCCCTGTCGTACGGCAGCACTGGGGGAAGCTTTGCTTTCAGGGGGCTTGAGTGAGGGTTTGACAGAGACAGGAACGAGGAGCAGAACTGAGAACTCTCTCCCTAGGAAGCCTTTCTACCCACGGCTTAGGATAGAAACGCTGGACATGCCAGCGGCAAAACCCCCACGATGTGATTTTTGGAGACAAGCTTGGTGTCTTGCTCCCATCTCCCGGGGGCTTGCGGGGACACGGAGCCCCCGCACCCAGCCCCGCAGGCCCCTGGCTTATGAGGCCAGGGCACCCCGAAACGCCGCGGCCAAAGCCCCCCGGCTACTCGCCTCTTTTCCGGGCGCTCTGGCAGGGAGAAGGCAAAGCTTGGCCCGCCGCCTACGGGGCGGGATTTGTTAATTTCCTTCCCCTGCCCGGAAGGTGGAGGCGCCGGGGGGCACCGCTGGGACAGGAGCCGGGAGCGACCCGGTCCCGGTGCTGCGGTGGGAGGAGTGCGGGGAAGGGGCGAGCGGGGATGAGGACGGTCCCCAAATGCCTGTGATGAGCTGTCCGCGCTCAGCGCCGTCGGGACGCACACGGGCAGCGGGAGTGGAAATCACAGCTTCCCTCTCCACCCGCTGAAGTAAACAAAGGGAGGAAATCTCAACCCACATCCCGGGAGATTGAACATCACCCTGTCCTGGTCCAAGAGTCACCTGCGTGGACGTCCCCAGCTCCTCACACCGACGTGGGGCTTACGAGCGGGATGTGGCGTTCAGGCTTTGGTTGTACCCCTACTCCACTCAAATACGGGTCCAAAGTTTGCGGGGTTGCAAAGCACAAGTGCTCTTGGGAAAAGTGTTTAATGGTGCCGATGGTGGGGAAATGTTCTTCTTTACCTTAGCTGGGAGGGAGTGGGAAGGGCAGGAGAGATGGCAGCTGGGCAGGGTCAGCAGCTCAGCTGTTGGCAGCCTTGAGAAAAACGTCCCTGATTTATCTCCAGGGCCAAGTTCCTGGTAAGATGAGGCATGCCATGGCAGGTGTTCAGGTGTTTTGCTGTCCACGTGCCAGCAAAATTGGTTGCACGTGCAAAGCCAGGAGCTCAGTAGGCACATCTTCCAGTGGAAGGCATCATGGCATTTACATGAATGTGTGAAAAGGATTTATTTCTGTGAGGCAGGTCCCTTCATAGCACTGCTGCTCTTTAGAGGTTGGATCTGGGCTGCATCTCTTTCAGGATAGAACAACCCCATGAGGCTGTCTTGCCAAGAAGCTGCAGTCTTAGAGACTGAAGAACTGGCCAGAAATGGGGTGTAAATGGGGAACTTTGGACCAGGCTGAAATGGTCCAAAGCAGACCCTTGCCCCCAGTGGGACAGGGACTGGTTTGCTCCAGGCATCCCAGAGCAAGGGCAAGGTGCAGCCAGGTTATATGTTGAAAGGTGTGTTCTTTATCCAGCAAGGACAGTGATTTTGCTGAGCCTGGCCACACAGCAGCAAGGAGCTGTTTTCCTTCACCTTTGTTCCCACAGACCATGGGCTGCCAAGCTCCAGCTGGGCCAAGGAGAGCCTGACCACCACCCACTCTGTCAAGAAACCTGCCCCAACCCAGAGGCATGAAAGCTCCTTTGCACGCAAGGGCTGCAGCAGCACTGGATTTGCTGGTGCTCTGGGGATTTTCCACTCATCATCGATCTTTGTTTCCTCCAGGCACCTTGGCAGGCTGGGGCAGCCCAAGCTGGCAGGGGCCAGTGGTGGTTTCTAGGAAGGTGCCCACTCCTGGTGATGCCTGACCATCACTAAAAATCCACTGTGTGCCCACCCTCTCTCCTGATGACCATGAAGGTGTACCCAGACACTGCCTAGAGTTCAGGGGGTTCAAGCCTCACCCTCATTTTCCCTGAAGGCAATGACTCAACCTCTGTTTATCACAATTTATTGCAAGGAGAAAAGTGAATTAGTGCAAGAATCTCCATCTGGATCCATCCTCCCCACTGGGAGAGCAGGGGGAAGCACAGTCCTCCTGGGAAGGGAGATGAGCCTCTCACACTTCCATCTGGAAGTGGAGGTCAGAGCCTGCCATGAGCTTCTGGTAGTGCTGATCAAAGCGCTCGTTCTGGGCCACAGTGAAGTGGTTCTTCCAGTCTCCAGAGATCCCTGGGAGCAAGAAAATAACTGGGGTAAATCCTCACACACATGACATATTTGCAACTGCAGACGGGGGTTCAAATACAATCCAGGGACATCCCTCCCAAATCCTCCACCACCGAACCCCCAGCTGAACCCCCACCTTTCCGGAGGAAGGGGGAGATGCTGTGATCCATCAAGGTGGGGAGCACGGTCTCATAGTTGGCAGCAGGGTTCTTCTTCATCTCCTGGAAGGAGGTGTGGTGCAGAATCCTATCCACTGTTCCCTCTGCCAACTCCTTGCCCAGGAACTGCAAGATCTTCTGCACCTCCTGCCGTGGGTCCTGCAGGGTGATTGACATGAGGAGGCTGCCAAAAAAGCTGGGGGGCAACCAGGGCTCCTTCCCCTACATCCCACCCTCACCTTCTTCATGTCCTCATAGAAGAGGTAGAGTATCTTCTTCTCCTGCTTCTTTTCCCACCATCCGCGCACATGGTCGTACCAGGATCCGTAGGGCACTGTGGGATATGGTCAAGGGATTAGCTGGAAAGAGGGGTAGCGGGGGCTGCCCTTCCCACAGGTGGCTCAGCTCACACCTTTGCCAGCCATGAAGTTCTCCAAGAACTCAGCCTTTGTGCCAGGGTCATGGTGCATCTTGGCCATCTGGTGGAAGTAGTAGTAGGAGATGGCAACATCCTTGGGGTTGCGGGCCATGTAGATAATCTGGAGAGAGCCAAGGATGTGTTTGGGAGGTACAGAGTGGTGCCTCCTCCCCACCAACCCAGATGGGGAGACAGGGAGCACCTGCCACGTTACCTTGCAGTCCTTCTCCCAGAAGGAGGTTGGGAGGAGCTGGACTGGGAGATGGGTCTTTACCAGCCGTGGGGATGGGGTGTTCTCCAGCAGCTCAACACCTGTGGCACAGGGGACTTAGAGGTGTGAACCCCAGCACCCTCACCCCCATGCTGGCTCTGTTCCCTCTCCACCCAAGCCAGGCAGCTGGGCTGGGGAAGCTCACCACTTGTTTCCATGGGGGCCTTCAACTCCAGGAAGGGCACACGGTTGTAGATGGCATCCCGTCGGCACTTCTCCACATCGCCATCGTGGTAGATCATGTCCATGATCTCGCTCAGCCACGTTGTGCCTGCCGCACAGGGACAGCATTGCAAAGGCTGGTGTCACCTCATCCCCCCTGCACCCTTCCCCAGGACCACTCACCCGATTTGGGGTAGGTAGAGATGAGCAGGTCATCTGGACGGGCTTGGAAAGCCTTCACCTGTGGCCAGCCCTCGATGAAGCTCTTGTAGAGGGGGATGCCATGGAGGCTTCCCATCTCCTGTGTGATTTCAGCTTCCTGCTCCATGGTTGACAGTGGGTCCACACAGCACTGGCTGTCTTCCCTGCTGGCAGCCTCCACAACCTCCGAACTGGCTGGCACCTGTGCCAGGACTGTGCCTGAGGCAGTACTGGGTCCTGTGCCAGGACTGTGCCCGGGGCAGTGCCCTATCAGGCAAAGTCCAGCCCAATTCACACGTGGAAGAGGTATTGCCAGTGCCATGGGAGCATGCCCTGATCCCAGTAAGATACTTCGGTAATGTGGATGCTGGCCAGGCACTAAGTCCAAGCCATGAGGGGTCAGGAATGGAGCCCAGCATCATCTCTCGTCCCACCTGTCTGCACTTCTTCCCCAGACACAGCCCCTTTAATGAGTGCCATGGGGTTGTGGAGGTGCAGAGACAGCTCTGCCACCCAGGGCCCCCATACCTCTCAGGATTCCATGTGCTCTGGTGCCCAGGAGCCCTGGAACCTCCACCCTCCTGCCACACCCAAGGTGTAAAGGTTCATGAGAGCTGGCTCACCTACGGAGCACAGCTATGGACCTGGCTGAGGGTGCTGCAAGCAGGGGTAGCCCCGGACTCTGCCCTCCTGAGCGCTCCTTGGATGTCTCTTGTAGGAAAGGGCTGCATAGGCTGATCTGCTCCATCCTGGATGATTTGATCCAGCAGGTTGTGCAGTACAGGAACATACCATGATGGAGCAGGTGCTGCTCTTGCTCCAGGAGGAGATCAAGGAGAAGCAAAAGCCAAGTGGTGCCTGGCCCACGCCAGGTCAGTGGAGTCTCTGGGAAAGGAGGCACCAGTGCAGGACAGAGCATCTGGACCATTTGCAGAAATACAGTCTCACAATTCTGTCCTTCTGTATCCAATGAGGGAGTTGGGAGTTTGTCAGGTCTGTTACCCTAACAAAAAATATATGTAACATTTTCATCTGATGATGAGGAAATAACATTATGACCTTTACTTAAAATTGAAATACAGATGATGGACAGGGTCAGCAAACTGCTACCAAAATGGTGCCATATATGGTGACCATGATATCAAAGTTCCAGGAAAAGTCTGGCAGACTTACATGGGATGGAAACATACGGGGCGATCTCCATGACAGAGAATTGGGAAAAGATGATTCTTTATCTCCTTCAATTCCCCCTGAATCTACTAGACCTCAGGGTGGAGAGGAAAACCACACACAAATAACTATCCCATTTGATCCAACTCAGGTGGCTGATTTGCAAGAGAATTTTGGCCATAAACCAGGTGGTATTGAAATCCAGCAACTGGAATCCTATCAGTGCAGACACAATAATGGCCCATACATTCAGATTCCAGTTGATTCTCATCAACAATTGCTAACACCATTGAAACACTCCAGGACAACGTCTCTTTGGCTCTTGGTTGTATTCAAGCCAGTTGTGGGTGCAGTATGTGACAGCTGCTATCACATGGGAAGATGAAGATGGTGCTCCCTTCCCCTTATGGGTGGGGTGCCACAGTGGGCTGCAATGTCCCCCCACCTCCAGCACACAGTGAGATCCCCTGGCACAGCCAGAGACCCACCATGCCTGAAGCCCAGTGCCCAGCACCCCTCCTCAGGTGCTCCAGCTTTACTGGTGCAGTTACAAGGGAAAGCACTTTGGGGTCTGCCCCGTGACAGCCCCTCTGCACAGCCTGGCAGTGCCCAGCCTGTTCCCAGCACAGCGGTGTAAGAGCTGTGCATGCCAGCTCCTGGTTCCCTGGAATTCCCAGCACCCAGAAACTGATAGGGTAGGACTCTGCTCCCCACTGCACCCTGCAGAGCTGGGTAGGTGGGTGCCAGCTCCTGCCACCTCCCAGGGTGTCACACAAGTCCCCTGGCTCCAAGCAGCACCATCTAGGGACAAGCACCCTGCTTGGGTGTGCCAGGCACAAAGCTACATCCTGCCCCACTGCCTGTTTATTTAATCCCCTACACAGAGGATGGATGCACACCCCTGCTTGCCCCATGTACCTTGGCAAGGTCCCATCCCAGAGTCATGTTTCCCCTGTCAGGAAACTCTGCCTGCCCCACAGTGCCCAGCTGGGGTAACCACAACCCAGGGTCCCTCTTTTAGCGTCCATTCATGGCCACGTGCAGCCTCCACTTGCTGTCATGTGCACATGGAGTGGTGCAGGAACGCAGTGCAGGAACTTGGCACTGTCCCAGCTCCAGGTGGATTTATGGGGATGGCTATTAGCTCTCCCATGATGGCGTTGGGGAATAAATGGATTAAAACCCTGCTCTTAGCTGGCTCATTGCTCTTTATACCAGAACTATGTTTCTCATCCATCCCACTGGGGCTTGGTGACCATCTCAGATCCCTCCCTTGTCTCTCATCCCTCAAAATATCTGGGGGTGGTAGGCAGGAATGCCATCTGTGGCTCAGCGGGACACTTTGAGACCCAGCTCTCGGTCCATTGCCTGGAGGAAACGTTCGTTGAGGAAAAGCATCTGCCCATGGGGCAGGAGTCGGTCCAGGAGGCCATCAGCGGCATCAGGACGGAGCAGGACGTCAGCGCCGGGGCCGAGGAGGCGCAGGGAGAGCAGCAGGCGGGGAGCCAGGCGCCGCAGGGTGATCTCAGCCAAGGACAGATTCTCTTGGGGCTCACAAACCAGGGCGAAGGCGAGGGCCAGCACCGATAACCAGACTACTGTCACCCGCTCAGGGAATGGGTCTCCGGGGGGCATCTGGAAAACACCCCCTGGAGCATCTTGCAGGGACATTGGCTCATCAGGTAGCTGGGGAAGCTGTGGAGAGGACGGGCACCCCAAGGATGCCTGAAGCAGTTGACACTGGGAGGCCACTTGCCTGGAAGAGAAAAGGGGGACACTCATGTTAAGGACTCCCACCTCATCCAGGGACAGTGACCCCTCTGTTGGGGAACAGGGTCCCAGGGGTCCTGCCGAACCCAAGATCCCCAAAAGGGTGGGTCCCATGAATGATCCCTGGGGTTCTCGCTGAGCCCTGTTCCCCGAAAGGGGAGCTGCCACAGGCTCTCCTCAGGAATGGAAGGTGTCCCACAGTCAAGGGGTGGGTGTCCCAGCCCTGGGGGTCAGGCAATGCCCAAGAGCCCTCCCATCAAACAAAGTGTGTATATCACGGCTGTGGGGATCCCAGGGAGAGGGAGGAGGTGTCCCAGGTCCAGAGGGTTCAGGAGACGGAGGGCACACGGTGCCGGGTGTCCCACCAGCATGCACAGGAAGGGGATTCCCGCGGATGTCCAACGTGTACCTGGCCACGACCAGCAGCTGCTCCTTGCGGCGAAGGCGCTGCCGGGGCCCCCCGGGGGCGGCGCCGGAGGGGGTCCCGAAGGTGCGCGCGTACAGCACGCGGCAGGGAGCGGGCCCGCCCGGCGCCAGCAGCACGAACGCCCGCACCATGGCGGCGGCACGGCCCCACCGCGGCCCCGGCGCGCCGGAAGTGGCGGCACTAGCCCGGAACGAGCAGTGGGCGGGGGAGCGGGGCGTCCCGCCGTGCAGGTCACGATTGGCCAAGGCTCGGGGGCAGCGAGAGCTGATTGGTGGGCAAAGGCCGGTGGGCGGGGAAAGGGCGCGCGGCCGAGGCGGAGGCAGTGTCCCCTCAGGAGGGAGCCCTGGCAGCCCCTCCGCGGCCATCCCTACTCCTGTCCGTGTCCCCCTCCCGGGGTGTCTCCGTGGGTACGAACACGGAATGCAGTACGGGGTCTGTGGCTCAAAGTGGCAGCACAGCAGTTTTGGGATGTAAATGCGGGAGGGAGTGTGTCCCTGGGCATGGGGTGGACACGGCTGCGGGAGGACATGGGCGTAAATGTGGCTTGAGGTGGCTCAGGGGGACATGGCCAGGGCCAGCATGGAAAGGTGCTTGTCTTGAGTGCACATACAGAGGAGTGTGTGGCTGGCACTGGGGACATGGAGGGGCCTATGGCCAGAGGGGCTATGGAGAGGGACACGTCTGTGTGGAGACATGAGACTCTTCCATGAGACCTTTCCAGCCACGGAAAACTTGTTTTCTGCCTCAAGTGGCTTCAGTGGCAAAGCTGGTTTTTGACAAATTCTTTATGGCTGTGGCTGGTTATTCGTGGGTTGAAGGTGGGAGTGGGAGGGTGTGAGGGTCTTTCTGCCATGTTCGGGGCATGTTTGGGGAGGTGATGATCCAGCTATGGTGTCCATATTCAAACTACAGTATCCATATTCCAGCTACGGTATCCATCCCAGGCATGGTGTCTGAAAGGAATAAGATGAATGTGTCGTTACAAACAGACCATGTGAATCTACTTGTAGAAAGGGCTAGGAACTTTAATAGATAGAGAAGTAACAGAAGAAACTATTAGTTCTAGAAATGTTACTAATCAACACGGACTGTTGCTTAGCCAAGGCCATGTGAAATTCCTGAAACTAGAGAAGAAGAACAAAGACTTAATAGAATTATGAATATCTTTATTTTTCTTCTTTCTTTTATATATCAAAAGGGGGATGCCTACCAGAGGGGGGTGTAGAGTAGGCGATTTGGGAAGTCTGTACCTTCCGAGTACCTCAGCCAATGGGGAAGAGGGTGATGCGACCAGGAACTTAGGATAAAAGGGGGGCTGAGTCCCCCAGCAGTCTGAGACCCGATGGGAAATTTCCATGGCCTCTCCCGTTTGGACATAAACCTCTGGCAGGGTGGATTCATGTTCCTAACAGTGTCCCTCCCGGAGCTGACTCCCAGGAGTGGAGGGCCAGCCTTATCCTCACGCAGTCTTGCTGTGTACATCCCAAAGCAGCGTCTGGCTGCCTGCGGGCCGGGCGCTGCCGCCCCCGCCCCGGGACTGCGGGGCTGCGCCGCGGCCGCCAGGCGGCGCCCGGTGCGTGACAGGGGCGTGCTGCCGCCGCCAGGGGGCGCCGCCGCCCGGGGCCGCGGGGATCCTGAGGGGCCCTTCCCGCGGGTCCCGTCCCAGGTCAGCCCCCACGGCGACCCCTCCGGCCACCGGGCCTCGCCTGGTTTCTTCTCCCCAGCTCTTTCCCAGAGCCACTGCCGGCAGGACGAGCCCTTCGGCCCCGCGCTGGCTCTGCTGTAACCCGGCAGAACAGCTCGAACTGACCGCTCCCGGAGCCGCTCGTGCCCGAGCGAGCCAAGCTGACTGTGTGATCCCCCAGGAAGACGCCGGGATGCCTGCACCGAGGAGGATGCCGCTGCTGCCTGCCCTCAGCACGGCCCTGCCAGCGCCCAGCCGGCTCAGCCCTCACAGAGATACTGCGGGGAGCTGGCGGCTGCAGCTCCTTTGTGAGTCCCGTTAGTTTGCGTCTCCAGCTCGGGGAAGGCTCTCTCTAGTTTCTGCTTCACCTCCTTTGCAGCTTCAGGTGATTTGCTTCTGTCCCCATTTTGTCTCAGGTTCAGCTCATATAGTTTGTTCGTGCCTCCACAATGTTTTAGACTCCAATTTGGTTTCACCTTCCCTGGCTTCTTTCTGGCTTCAGCTTATTTGCAGCTCCAGTTTGTTTCCATGTTCTGTGGCTCCAGTTCATTTCTGCTCTGGCTCATTACCGCTTGTGCTTGTTCAAATGATCTTGGCTCGTGACAGGGCCACAAATCAATCACTCTCATAACTTAAATGTGAACGGACATAACTGTACATTGTCTAAAGATGGACTAAACTTCTTGGACCAATGCAAGTGGACTTTCAGCCTCCAGTGGGATTCCCCACAGATGCCCCAATACCAGTTCCCACTGTCAGGAAAATCCACAAACGCCAGAAATTTATGTCCATAAGGGAAACAGAGGAGTCCTGCAAGTTTATGCAAATAAAGGGAGCAACTCCTGCACAAGCTCATGGAGTTTTCTCTCTCGAGGTTTCGGAGGGCACAGCCTCTATCCTCAACTCCCAGCCACAGGTTGCCC